TTTATGGGGACGCACCTGCTAACATCTACATCAGGGGTAGGCAAACTCTGGCCCTCTAGCTGTGGTGCACCTACAAATCCCATGAGGCATTGCAAGACCCTGACAGCCACAGACATGACAGATGTAGGGTTGCCACCTCTCCGGGATTTACCCGGACAGTCCGGTTTTTGAATGCTCTGTGTGGGTTTCATGGCAGCTCAAACCCGGAAAGAAGATGTCAGGCAGACAGGGGCAACCAAAATTAAGATAGGGCTACTGGCCCCCACGGAAAATAGTCTCGGCTGTGATATTGTTCCCTGTATTGCTGTACCATTGTGGAACATACTCCTTCCTTTCTGTATGGGTGACCTAGTATCTTCGTGTGAATCCCGAACCATAGTGCAACGCACTTTCCCAGTGTACCTATGTACCCAGAATCCCAATGCTGCAAGTAAATCATCAATTGTTCATAGCAGATGCTCCCTATTTATGTTTATTGCTGATGCCTTTACACAGTGGAATGGGGAAATATAACTTTTTTCCAGATTAGCTACAAGAAGCAAAGATATAAATAAAAGTCTGCACTAGGATTGACTAATTTGTTAGCAGCTGTATTATTATCACTAAGTGATATATATCATAAAAAATCTCAAACAAAACAGTGTTTTTTTTACTAGAATCAATAGATCAAGCAATTACAATTACTACTCATATAGGTCAAATAGTGCTGTTCCAATCAGCAAAGTTTGTATTATGCCAGCCTAAGTAGCAGCAAGTCTCTAAATGTACTATTTAATCCAGTGTATTCAAGTGCAGTTGAAATAAACCCTATTTCTACTTCAATAAGTCAACTCCCTTCCACCACACAGGTACAGCCCCAAATGGATGACCAGTTTAGTAAATCAGCTCGTCTAGCGAGCACTGATTTAACAACTCAGTCTCCAATAGCTGTTCCTCCACTTCACTTGTGTGGGTGGAATGCACAGACTTCTCCATAGCTTCCTCTTGTCACATGCGGCATCTCCTCAGAACATGACAACATCACACTATGTTCGCTCCGCCCAATACATTTCATCACAAGAACTGCATCAGGAGAGATGCCATACAGCAATGTCCCTCATGTCTAATAACTCCATTAGCCTCTCCCTTGCCAAAGTTCTTTGTAGGAAAATATCAAATGAATCAGCACCTTCATAGATTCGCCTACCATAGAAACCATGTCCCCATGTTCCAGACAAATATCTCCACGGATATATTCAATCAAAATAAACAAAATCCTCAAGATTAAATCAAAACTTCATATAATGAATTCTGATTTATCTTCTATTCTTCCATTACATCAATAGCCACACACAGGCCCGAAGAAATGTTTTTTCCCTGGGGGGGTCAGCTTCCTCAAATTGTAAAAAAAAATATACCAGCCATATAATTCCTAAGGGCTTGTTCACACCAAGCGCGTTCCAGGAGCAGAGCAGAGCAGTTACAGACCGGATCAAAACTGCGTCCAATGTTTTCCAATGGTATTTTGGGCTCTAGTTCACACCGCAGCGTTCAGTTCCAGAGCATGTAAAAAAAAACTGCAGCAAGCCCTATTTTACCTGCTCTGGAACGCATGCAAACACATAAAAAATGCATGCAAACGCCCTGGAACGCACAAAGTCCATTTTAAATTAAACAAAAACAATTTTTTTAAAACCAAAAACGGCCCAGAATGCAAAAACTCAGCACAACCCACTGCACTGTGTGTGCAGAAACTCATGCAGATCTGGTCTGCATTTGGTGTGAACAAGCACTTTACCCTTTACCTTGAGCAATACCGATTTTGTTGTTTGACACCATATGGATAAAAACCATGTTTTACAAAGACTTATAATTGGTACCAATTCCCACAAACCACTTAGTATACACTTATTGGGATTTTGCTTACCAAAAACATTTAGCAGAATACATTTTGGCCTCTTTAGGAAGAAATTTGATTTTATTTGATATTTTGTATAACAAAAACTAGAAAATATAATTTTTCAAACAATTTTTAGTCTTTTTTCATTTATATAAAAAAAGTAATAAAAAAAAAAACCAGCGGCGATCAAATAGCCCCTAAAAGAGAGCTCTGTCTCTGGGAGTCATGCCTGTGGCTTGCGGTGCCTTATGGGAGAGCAAAGGTTGCCTACCCCTGTCCTAGACCAAAACAAGCACCTAAGTTTTATTCTGCCCAGTATTCTTCTTTAAGCATTTAGACCTCATTTGCCGAAAATTGCATGTAACGTGGAACAATAAACCCCTGCTCTAGACAAACTGTTCCCTTGCCCATGTTTTCCCTTCCTGATCCACCTTCAAAACACCTCATTCTCCAGTGCTGCTTTGGTAATTTAGGAGCCACTTCTGGGCTTGCTTCAATTTTCCCGGTGGTGCCCCTTCTAATCTGTCATGGAGGAGAAACTTGAGTGAGTTCAAGCCTACACTCCATGGTGGTTCAGGAGGGGTGCTGCCGCACCAAAAGAAGGGAGCACAGAAGCGGGTTTAAAGCCACTGATCCACAATGGAGGCCCACCACATAGCAATACATTATACAGCAATGCAGAATACCACCAGCTATAGAGGACTACAAATCCCAGCAATACATTATATAGCAACGCAGAATAATATGAAGCTACATACTCTGTTTTGCTCCAGGGTGGTGGCCTGATGTCCCCAGGGTCTCATGAATGCTGTATGGGGTCTCAGGATGGCTGTGTGGAGTCTCAAGATGGCTTTGCGGTGTCTCAAGACGGCTGTGCGGAGTCTCAGGAATGCTGTGCAGTCTCAGGTGGGCTGTGGGGAGTCTCAGGTGGGCTGTGAGGATTCTCCGGTGGGCTGTGCGGATTCTCCGGTGGGCTGTGCGGGGTCCCCGGTGGGCTGTGCGGGGTCTCCGGTGGGCTGGGGGTTCACAGGTAGCATGTGGGGGTTTCTGTTGGGCTGTGCGGAGTCTCAGGTAGGATGTGGGGGTCTCAGGTGGCCTGGTGGGCTGTGCGGAGTTTCAGGTGGGCTGAGGGGGTCTCAGGTAGCCTGTGGGGGTCACTAGACTCAGGACTGGTGCAGACCGACATGATTCGGGAACGCACGTCACGGGATCGCACGGTCCTGCACAATGCAGGTCGCGATTGCCGTGCGGCCCCATTGATTTTAATGGGGTGACATCCACGCAGCAATCGCAGAAAAAAGGTACTTGTACCTTTTTTTGCGATACACGGCGCTAGGCTGTTTTAGCCTCGATCATGTTTGGAAGCACAGGCGGAATCGCGCTGGAAAACCGCACAATCCGCCCGGCGCGACTGGGGTGCCATTAGAAAATAGTGGAACCCGCAGCGCGATCGATGCACACCTAGGCAACTCCTGACCACGCGGCAATCCGCGCGGAATCGTGCACGATTGCCGTGCGGTGAAGAAACTCAGTGGACTTAGGACTAAAACCAGAAGTATACTCACAGATAATACAAGCACCCCCCTCCTCCCCAGCCCCTGCTACCTGACTGCCTGCTCTGTCTCTAGGGCTGCAACAACTAATCGACATAATCGATTATAATCGATTATTGAAAAAGTTGTCAACTTTTTCAATAATCGATTAATCGGCTTCCGATCAGTTGGCCCTGTTCACGGCTCCACACAACAAGAGTTAAAAAAAAATATTAAAATAAACATTTTTTAATTAAATAAGAAATAATAAAAACAAAATAAAAAATCCTGGAGCCAGGGCGCTGGTTGACGTCAGACGCCTGTTGGGGGGCACTTATTTTTTCTTGTCACATGCGCAAAAGGAGCTAGCTACGGCTATGCTCCCGCAGTGCTTGAGCGGCTGCCGTCTGAATGTGTCAGACGCCGCAGACGGAAAGCGGCAGGACACCTCTCCCAGTGTGCAACTTCGGCCACACGAGTACCGCGGGAGGATAGTACGCCGGCGCCTCTAGAACGCACTGGAATGCAAGCCAGCTGACTCCCTGCGTTCAGGGGCGTGGGGTTGCACTGCAGCCATGTCCCTCGCCCACAGTGTGATCGCCTGCACCCAGAACGCCCGCACATTAGTGCCTGCATTCCGGTCCACTGTGATCTGCAAAAATAGTGCTTTGCAGCATTAATGCGTATCGCACTGGACCGGAACGCAGGCACTAATGTGCCTGGGTTCCGGGTGCAGGCGATCGCACTGTGGGCGAGGGGCCTGGCTGTGGTGCCATTGACTTCAATGCACCGCCACGCCCCCTCCCGCACCTGAACGCAGGTGTTTTTTTTGTCGGTAGATCTCATTGAGCTCGTCATTTGAAAAGTAGATCTCCAGACGAAAAACTGCGGGCGCCCCTGCCCTAAACCTTTTACCACCTCTACTCTATTCTTTACTTTCAAAAGGGAAGGCAAAAAGGTATCTAAATGCCAATGCTACATCCACTATTGCTTTACATAGATAAAAATGACTTGGCATAGATTCAAACCCTAAACCTCTACACTTTATACTGTGCTCTTACCTTGTCTATATCCATCCCTTACAGAAAAGTAAAGGTAGAGATGACCTAAATCCAAATGTAATGTATATGTAAAATTATTTTTAATTAGCTGCTAATGTTATAATGAATTAATTCTCATAGATTATTCATAGATTCTCTAATTCTTCATCTGTTTAAATTATAATTACTATATGTAGCTCTATCGTAATAAGGCAAATGCCAGCAAAAGGAGAACTCCAGGATTTTTAAAAAGTAACCCTTGCAGTGGAGAAAAAAAGGCCAGTGTATGGCCAGCTTAAAGAAAAACTCTGGGCAGAATTATTCTTAACCCTTGCATAGAAGGGTTAAGAATAATAAGGGAAGAAAATAAAAAAGTTATACTCACCTAAACCTTGGAGAAGGCTGGCTGCTAGACCAGTCCCTGCAGCTTGTCTCCTGCTTTTCTTCACGGATAGAGTGGCCCTCGGCGTCCTCACATCCTACAGACTGTATAGGACATGATGACTCACGGAATCTTAGACCACTGGAGCAGAGGGGAAGAGAGGCTGCATGGACCATCTAACAGCCCGTTGCCTGAGAGGTTCAGGTGAGTATAACTTTGTGTTCACCCCCCCACACACACACAATGCAGGGTAAGCTCCATGCAATGGTTAAGAATTATTCTACCCAGAGTTCTACTTTAAGCTGGCCATACACTGGCCATTGTTTCTAATTCAACCCCTCAGGCTAAACGAGATAAAGCGATTGATTCCCCCCATCCACGCTAAAAACAGGTTGAATGAGAAAACCATTTGATTCCCCCATCCAAGCTGAATAGACCGTTTTGTTTTTTTCTTTCTCATTTTTTTTTAATTGAGCCCACAGCTAGTGTGGATAGGGGAGTTGAATGTTTTTTCCTGTCGGGGCAACGCACTGGTTGAATTTCAGCCAAGTCATTGTGTATCATAAACAATAGCCATGATTTTTTTTTTTTATAAAATACTGTTTTCACCTTATTATATCCGTGTTTGCATCTCAATCCTGATGGTCACCTCCAGCCTCTTTCAGTCTTCCTGTCTACATGCACTTGCCATAGAATTGGCTAAATATCACTGTTTTGAACAGGCCTGTGGTAGTAATAATGGACCATGCCTGTGCAATGGGTGTCAGCATGGCCACTTGTAGTGTAAAAGGGTGACAACACAGGAGCACAAATGAGAGATAGCTGTCACTCCATAACAGTAGAATTTAGATTATTCAACAAGACATTCATGACAGGATCACCAAGTATAATTTTGAGAAAAATTTAATATTTATAATATTTAAAAACAGCTCTTAAAATGACATTAACATGTTAAAATATTTGTGAGAGTTTACTGATTGGGTTTAAATCCCACAGTAGCAAAAGATTAAAACCGTAGCCTTTCCCTTAAGCTGAGTATTTGCATGAAGCTGCATCAAATACATTACTTCCAGAGAAAAATTCACACATCTTTGTATTGAGTACAGTAATAAAGAAAAGAAGATTAAGCATGAAAATACTTTCAGGTAAACTCTCACATAACAAAACAAAATATGTTCTTATTGAAAATGCACTATGCTTTCCCTTAAATTGGCAATAAACATTTTCTCTTTCTTAGTGCCAGATGCTGTCAAAGAGCCTAAGTGCTCAAAAGTCAATGGTTACCAGATAAAAGTGGAATTTAAATGTCCAGTTGGCAATTATTCTCAAATCCGGGTGTTGGTCAATGATAAACCAAGTGATAACTGCAGCTGTACTGAAAGCAATACAATATCAGGCCTTCAGCCTGCTCAAGAATACAAGGTTAAAATAATCACTTTGGGAACAGACAAATTCGCTGACACCGAGATTTTGAAATGCTACACTGATAGTACAGGTATTAAAAGAAATTCAGTTCAATATATATTTTATTAAAGCACACATTGCTTAGCTATACTGACATAAGCTTTGTTTTTGTTACTAGGAGTTATTGTTGGATCAGTATTTGGCATTTTATTATTTCTTCTTCTCATTGGATTGATTGTCTTCTTCGTCTTGAAAAAAAGACGGTAAGATGGTTACAATATTTCTAACTCCTTTCACATAAAAGTGAACGTCAGGCAAAAAGCTATTTACACTTTTGAAATACATGCATGTTTACGGTTTTATCTGTCAAAGTATTTTAATTTTGTCCTGCCGTTCTTGTTATATAACTGCCTCTGTTGTCAGTCTGGATCATATTACACTAGTGAACCTGTCACTTGAGGCAGCTCACAGCATCAAGATCATTATACAGGGTTAAACAGGGCAGAGAAACACTCACCTGTTTTTATGTGTCACTTCCTGGCTAATTGGATGAGCAAAACATTGCTCTCTCACTAGCGATTTAGAAGGCAGTCTTTTCCTTGAAGGCGATCAAGGCATTCCTTATAACCAGCAATACAATGTAGTTGGAAGAGATTACGGTAACCAAATCTACTCCCCGCATTCCCTGTGCCTGCAGCTTACCCCCATTGGCTGCCCCACTCTCTAGCAGGGTCACACCCCTCTCAGGTAGGTGCAATCAATAGCAGAACACCTGGAATTAACCAGATAATGTCAAACTACAAACCAGCTAGACTGATTACAGTGCTAACAAGGCTAGATTTTAGTAGCCACTCCACTGATGGTGGTCAGGGCTACAGGCATATGGGCTTATTTAATTACAAACAGAATACAAAAGGAAATCTATACTTTTTTTGGTAATGCAATCATATAGCATATTATTATTTCTTTAGGAAATGTGTTTGTGATTAAACCGCTAAAATGATGTGCATATTTATATTGTCTCTTGTCTGTTTCTTCTTTTATAGGTCAAAGAGTAACTCTGAACATATACCAATTTCTACTAAAAGAAAAAGGTAACTGGTCATGCACAACTACAATGTCTGTTCTCAGAGTACCAGATACTTACAGACCACTGCAGCTTTTAAACTTTTAATATAGTAAGTCTTGATGGGCAATCTGCCCTAAGGCCATTCACCCATATTAGCCTGACATTCCATAGCCACATTCACTCAAAATCTAATAAAATATTGGGCAGCAGACGGATGTGACTGCAAATAAACTAGCTTTTTTATTTTAATATATATTACTAGCTTAGAATCCCGGGTATTCAGGCTCCTCATGGCAAAAGGAGAGCGACCACACAGCTGTCTGACTTGCCCAGATGTAATTGCCCATACTAATTTAAAATATGGACTTATAGTCAGTGACAGGGAATCCCAGGGAGGCACCTCCGTATATTCTCTTACAGTCTTATAACATTGCAGTGCTGGGATCCCTTTTAGGCCGTAGGCAGCAGAGTGAATGACCGACCTAAAGCAAAGTGAGCCGCACGCTGTTCGGCTATTCCCTTCAAGCTGGTACGGCTGATTTCAGCCGTATATCGGCTGAAATCAGCCATACTTTGGGTGGCTTCAGGTCGGCTGAACATGAACTCTCAAAGTGCAGTAGGAGTTCGACTCAGCCGATCCAACATCTGCCGCTGAGCGGCATTCGGCTCGGCTTTTCTGCTCGGTCCCTCTGTGGGACCGAGCAGAACAGAAAAATAGTTACAAAAGTAGAAAAATAGAAAACAATTGTGCGGAGCTAGCAATGACAGTTAGCTATGCCCAACAGTTTTCTTTCTATTGGCCGGCGGTTCTGCTGCCGTCAAAAAAAAGAAAAAAACATTTTGGCCATAGGAATGCATTGCTAGATTCCTATTGGCTATTTCAATTTGCACTAGCCAATAGCAAACTAGCTATTGTACCCGCCCTCTGCTGCTGTCAATCAGTAGTGGGGACCTGATGGGGAACTGCAGCAGAGGGCGATGCAATGCTAGTTTGCTATTGCAAATTGAAATAGTCAATAGAAATCTAGCAATGCATTCCTATGGTGAAATTTTTTTATTTTTATTCTGACACGGCTCCGTGCATGCCGTGCGGGTCTGTATGGGTTGGTTCTTTTTCGTGTGAATGAGGCCTAAAAGAGTCTAAAAAAGAAGCAGAGACAACAAGTATTCCAAAAAAACAAGCATTCAGCACTCAATATGTCCTAAAAAGCACAAATTAATTTTTTTAAGCCACTTAGCTCACAGTCACTTTGTTCCAAAGCCCTTTGTGAGCAAGTTCAATGTGAGTCGTGCACCAGCTTATAATACACCACAGGGACCATGGGGAACAAAGGTAGCCACCCTCCAAAAGGAAGGACAGTCTCAGCACAAATTCAGAGTTGATTTGATGCACAAATAAGCAAAAAAAAATTTAAATAGTTAGGGTACTTGAATACCTTTTTAAGATTTAACTCCTGAGTTTAGAGTCACTTTAAGGAAAGCCCTGTTGGAAACAAAAAATTAGCTCTTAATATACTAACAATATGGTTGCTTTGAGTCCCCTTTTATATTGAGGAGATGGCCTATCCAAAAGTCCTTCTAAAGCTGGCCATACACCTATAGATTATCTGCAGATTTCTATGGTCAGATGAAAAAAGTGCAACAGATTCCTCCATCTACGCTAAACTGTGTGAATGGAGGAATCTCCCACTGGGCCAAGCTTCAGTATCTTGCTAGTCGGCCCCGCTGGCTCTCAAAACACCTGAACAATCTGATTGCATGCAGGCATTGCTCAGGTATTTTGAGAGCCAGCGGGGCCAACTAGCAAGATACTGAAGCTTGGCCCAGTGGGAGATTCCTCCATTCACACAGTTTAGCGTAGATGGAGGAATCTGTTGCACATTTCCCATATGACTGTAGAAAACCTGCAGATAATCTACAGGTGGATGGCCAGTTTAAGCCTATTCCCTATGGTTCAAAGGCTATGGCAGTATGGTTGGAGAAAAAAAAAAATCACCCATCTGGTGGCATTTAAATTTGCTGGGTTATTAAGTTTTGACCCGCAGAAACCATGGTCCTCATGGGAACCTCATTCCTACTGAGAAGAAGTGCATGCAGCTTGAAAAGGAATTCAAGGGGGGGGCTTAATTTGATCTATGCAGTTGTGATCCCCATGCATATTTGCTTATGTGTATGATCTATTTTTGGAGAGTGTGAACAATACATTTTTTAAAACGTTAGCTGAGCCATTCATTCTGCAAAACTGACATTTACAATCAAATGTTTTCTTGTGCAGAACAAATGTAATTGTTGGAAAACACTGCATTATGGCCACAAGATGGAACTAAGGAGCATAAGAAATAAATTGTTTCCTGGTTTCACAGAATGAATGGCCCTTCAAAATTTTAAAGCAGAACTCCAGCCAAAACTTTTATTAACCCTTGCAGTGGGGCTTGTTTTTGTTTAGGTGCGGGGGGGAAAAAAGTGACACATACCCGAACCACCAAGCCAGCTGCCTGCTTCTCTGAAGCCCTTCTCTTTCTACGCTGCAGCATTAGAATGTTCCTCAGCAACCTTGTGTCTATACACACTGTATTGGACATGATGATTTACAGGAACTTAGACCGCTACAGTGGAGGGGAAGAGAGGCTGGAAGGACCAGCCTAAGAACGATCTGCAATTTAGGCAAGGTTTAACAAGCAGTTAAACCTTGCAATGCGGGGGTTGCCCCACCGCAAGGGTTATTAATAGTTTTGTCCGGAGTTCTTCTTTAAATACACCTCTAAATTAAATTTGTTTTAATTCACAGCACATACTGTCTTCATCTTATTAGATTTGTCTCAGAGTGAAGGTAATTTAGCTAAAATGGAACATGGGGCAAAAATAGCATCCAAACACTAATTTCTTTTAAAATGTATTATAACAGTTTGAGATGAATCTCTTAAAATAAAGACTGAGACACCCAGAGTGAATTAGAAATACAATGATCTGAAGTCACTAGGTAACCCTTACAGTACTTATTCTGTACTTATTCTGTAACTTCTATACCTCTTATTGTTCAGTGGTACTTTAACAGGCCATAACAACACTACTGATTTTGAAATGTCAAATGATATTGTTATTTTATGAACATTGTGGCAAATAAAGCAAAATTTTTTTATCCAGTATGTGTTTTGCAGAATGATATATATATATATTGTAATGTTAGGGGAATCCAGCAGGATCACAGGACACAGGCTTTGCAAATAAAGTAAAGTTTATTAACTTAAATAGCTTCACAGACATACATTTGGCAATTTGTGTTTTCTCATAATAGGTTGATCCATGTGTGTAAAGTTGTAAACATTATTCTTATGTTCAAGTTTTTGTGCAATTTGTTGTGTTCCAGATTTCACACCATAACAAAAGAAAGATTTAAACAGAATTATGAAAATAAACATGCAAACAGTGACCTTGGATTTGCAGAAGAATATCAGGTATGGCTGTTTTAGCGTGTCCATAGATTACTTGTGCCTTCAAGCACTCAACAAGGACAATAACGAGCACTCAAATACTTTCATCACTTAATATAACTAATTGGAAAATCCCATGCAATGGGGCTTAAAGGAGAACGATGGGGTTAAGACTTTTCCCCATAGAGGCATGTTTATTACAAAGTGATGCAGCCTGCCTGCTGCCCTGGCCCCCTTTATTCACTTACAATAGTCAGAGCCTGGCTCATGCTCCATGTGTTTTTTTAGCGCTTAAATGTATGTTTTTTATGGGCGTTTTAGCACGTTTTACACACGATTTCTGTTCATAAGCAATAGCATTTTAGGCATGTTTTCAGCTCATTTTAAAGTTGTCCAAAGAAAAGCAGTCTTAGCTGCAAAAACACGCTAAAAAACACACAAACGCTCTGATCTGCACATTTCCATTGAAGTCTTTGGAGCAAAATTGGCTAATAAGTGTCACAAAAGAAGCTCAAGGACTATTTCAAACACCAGGCATATTTTAATGTGCGATTTAGCATGTTTGTGTGAACGCCCCCCATAGGAACACAAGGGATTTTATGTTGTGTAGCGCTCACCCCCGAAGAAGCCACTGGAATATGATCGGTTCATCATCACTACTCTGTCTAGGGGAATGATCGTCAGCCGTCCCATTAGCATTTAACCGCCCTCTTCTAGTGCCCACAAAGCTGATGCCCACTCCATTAGTACAATGCTGAATAACTTTTCTTAAACTCTTCACACTGGGAAGAGAAGGTATAGGGATCCTAGACTTCCAGGGTGTAACAGACATAGACTCCAGACTCACCAGACCTTTAAGCATCTCAGTGTAGATCCACTTGGTATACAGCGGATAGTATTTGAAGTAGAAGGTCAGTAGTCATGAATATAAATCCTCAGCAGGAGAGACACCAGCCATGCTCCTGAGATTCTCAGCCTTAATCCATGACTGGTCCGGGCTAGTCTGAGCATATGTAAAATCCCTCCAGTATAGGTATCCTATCCCAGCATGCACCAGTGGTTGAGAGAAACCCAGTGATTGGCTGCTGTACTGTACATACACTACAGTGCCTCTCATTGGCTGTCCCACAATTTGAAAGAGTCACACTATGCCCAGGGGGGTACAGGCAATGCCAGACACCTGGAATTAACCAGATAAATGCCACTATAATCCAGCCATGCTGAGAACAGTCCTGGCTATCACTAAATGTCTAGTAGCCATATCACAGAAGCTGATGGGGGCTACAGTTGCATGAGGTTCAGCGTGGAAAAAAAATGTGCGATGCAACGCCCTGATGTGAATGAGACCTTAATGTCACAGCCAGCTAGTTCAGTCAGCCACTTTTGTACTGTTTGAAGTCATGCCCAGCTGCTGGGCAGGACTTCAGACAGCACACGAGACGTCCGGCCTCATGGAGCATTAGCCAGCCATTGGACTGCTGTATATTAATAAAGGGGACTGGGGACGAAAACCACACTGCTTAAAAAACATGCTACTCTGGCTGACGCGCTCCTCCCTTTTTGTAGTACTGTTTTTTTAATTTAACTAAAATGTATTTTCAATAACATATATATAATATATATAATCCATAAGTGATGGTAACAATTAATCACCACAACTATGTGGTATACTCTTATTTGCTATATGCATACAAGAACTACATTAGTAGCGTAACTGTCTGTTTTTTACATTGTAAACAATGTGTCTGTTTCCAATCCCCGTTCTTAGAGAAGCCTGTTTGGTGCTACATGCTTTTGCTGTAAGATGGATACAGCTCGTGTTTCTGGCCAAAGCACTTTTATTTCCTGTGTAAATACAGGACCACAGGGGTGATGTAATTAGGGGAGCGTTATGTCACTCTTTACCTTCTAAGAATGTACTTAGGAGAGGGATATGTCCCCTCCCTTCATCATACCAGGCCACATGCCCTCGGCATTAGGAGGGTGCTTTTCCAGGGGGGGAAAACACCTTTTCCCTGGAAAAGCACCTTGTTCCCATGCCGATGGGGCCAAGGGCCTCTTCCCCACAACCCTGGCCTGATGGTTGTGGGGGTCTGCAAGCAGGGGGGCTCATCTGCATCTGGGTACCCACTTTCAGGGCCGGCCTTAGGGGTGTGCGAGCTGTCAGGATGGCCGAGCGGGTAGGAGATCGGAGCCGCTGTCATCCTGTCAGTTTCAGGATGACAGCGGCTCTGTGCATGGCAAACTGATCCTGAAGCCGGGCGGCGGGTCATGACGTGCCGTCCTGGCTTCCTGTTTGGTCAGGAAACCAAGCTGCCTAGTAACAGGTGAAGCCGGCTTCCTAGCCAATCAGGAAGCCTGAAGGCGGTCATGATGTGCTGCCTGGCTTCCTGATTGTTTGGGAAGCTGGCTCCATGCTCCCTCACGACACTGCCAGTCAGATGTAATCTCCCTCTGACCGGAAGTTCTAGTATTGGGGTAAGTTCAGGACCGGATTTACCCTCCCTGCCTCCCCAAGGCCGGGTTCGGCAATGCCTCCTCTTACTTGTAAAGAAACAGGTGATTTCTCCTATTCTACATTTAGCTCTGCTTGTGCAAAGCAGAGCTAAATGTAGAAAACATTTCTGGAACTCCATGTTCCAGGCATCGGGTGTGCCGGCCTTCTGCTCCATGAACTCCATGTTCCAGGCATCGGGTGTGCCGCCCCTCTGCTCAGTGCCGCCCCGAGGCCGGGCCTCGGTGTGCTTGCCGGGAATCCGGCCCCTGGTAAGTATCGGAGCATTTGGGCAAGTATGAGTACTTACTTGGGTGGTGGACTTACATCAGAGTTCCCTATTACATCAGAGTAACCCCTTAAATACGAGTCTTTAGGATTCTGATGTAAAGGGGGTCTCTGGGGGCACTGATATAAAGGGGGACCCTGAAGACTGATGTAAGGAGGGACTCTGATGTAAGGGGATACTCTAACTCTGAGTTTGACTTGCATTTTTGAGTTAATAATATGGTAAAATTATCTATAATGTGGGTGTCTGTTTTTAGAAGAAGGCAGGCTCTGTGAAATGGGTGACATAGCAGTGCATACTCACTGGTCATAGGAAATAAAAGTCATTGCATGAAAGGAAGTAAATCCTGGGGGATTCTTCAAAAAGTAAGCTTACAGACTGCAAAGTCATTCTGATTAATAGGGGTAGGATAGGACTAATGCAAATTCAGTGTAATAATCAATATACGAGTTAGAATTTTGCTATTTATACACTTTAAAGCTAAACAACAGCCTTCCCATACTAGTAGCAAGTCTGTGCCACTCCTCATTGCTCTTAATTCCCTGTAAATGTGCATCTCCACAATATAAACTCTTGAAGCTACAGCAGATATCTTGACCCCACCTTTATTTGCTGTCTTAATTACTTTGTTCATCAATCACTTGGCCCCCCCTCCCCTCCCTGGGATGTGTTATTTTATATAGATCGGAGGCAGAAAGCTGTAATGTTTATAGCAGCGTTTCTAACCTCTCCCACCACATTCAGGCCTTGTTAACACCAAATGCAGACCAGATCTACCTGAGTTTCTGCACACGCAGTGCAGTGTGTTATACCACGTTTTTGATGCGTTCAGGGCCGTTTTTCCATTAAAAAAGGGCTTTCAGTGCGTTCCAGGGCGTTTGCATGCATTTTTTATGCATTTGCATGCGTTCCAGAGCAGGTAAAATAGGGCTTGCTGCAGAGGCCAAAGAGCAGTAGACAGAGCAAGTAATGACAACATTATTTGATTGAAAAAAATTATTGAATGTTCATCGGGGGGCAGGGGAGAACAAGTGAAGGTATTATTTGTATAAGATACACTTCAGCTTTAGAGATCTGCATTCATTTGTGTCTTCTATTTCTGCTAGAGTTTAGGTTTGAACTTTCAGGAATGCAGTAGTTTTACATAAAAATACATTCCACTATTACTGAGCTTTCTAAAGATTTCTGCATCACAATAAACTTCAATGACCCTGCCAACTTGTTTTATTTTGTACACAGAGTACATTCACTACTTTAATACTTCCTTAGTAACTACTCTAACTACATACTTGTTCCAGAGTCCTACTTGACTCACTGTATGTTTGTACCAGGAAAGGGACCCTGAAAATATTGAAGCCAGCAACAACCTTTTAAGCAGTTAGCATATTCGGACAGTGGTCAGTATTGGTAGTGTACAATTTGCGCAGGTTTTCTTTAATTAATTATGCCAAAAATGTGCAGGACCCTATTAAGAAATCCAGGTGACATAAGAAAAAAAACAACAAATGTCTATAGAGAAAATGAACAAATACTTTGAAAACCTGCATCCACAGAATCCTAAGTAGGTGTTACATTTATCAACACCTCATTTGTCACATTATTGCCCATTCAAACAGGGCATCCAGGTCAGTTTGTAGGTAAGAAACTCTTGCAGGAACTTCTCCACTAGAATGGAGCCCAGCAGTCAAAATGGCAACTACAGTATAGGCATACTAAATATACACTGAACCTCAAAAAAAATAAAAATGAAAAAAACCAGCTGCCTCAGTAGTGAAAGATTAAAACACCAAAAAGAAAAAGCAGTTACAATTCTATAAATATACAGAAGAAGCCTTATAGAAGCCTTGTAGTATAGATATGTACTTATGTATGTCTCATATATAGATATGCAGAAATAAATATATACAAATGTGAATTAATCATAAATGCAATAAATAAATCAAGTCTTTTAAATCAAATAGAAAAATAATGCCATATAAATAGTGCAAATAGTGAAATAATGAACACAAGTGCTTCTGCAATTTTTAAAACTTGATTCACCATAAATTGTGCCCAGAATAAGTGTGCACACTACACCACCAGCTATGGAAAGCAAAGCAGCTCACCTTTAAATATGATGAAAGAGTGAGCTTTAAGAAGTGTTGTGACATCCAGACTGATATGTCAGTTAGTAAGTTAGTGATATGTAAGGAGACTGAGGAGGTGATTTGTGGAGTGGAGAGATATATTGTAGTGTCATCAGCATAGAGATGGTGCTGGAAGCCATGTGAGGTGATCAACTGACCAAGAAAGGAGGTGTAGATAGAGAAGAGAATGGGGTCCAAGGACAGAGCCTTGGGGGACCCCAACAGAAAGGGGGAAGAGGAGAGGAAGAGGTAGATTTGTAGGTTACACTAAAAGAGCGCATAGATAGGTAGGAGGAGAACAATGAGAGAACAGAGTCTTGTAGGCCAAGCAAGTGAAGTTTTTTGAGGAGCATTGGGTGGTCAACTGTGTCAAAAGCAGCAGAGAGGTCTAATAGCAAGAGTAAGGAGTAATTCATTGTTTTTAGCTTTTAGTAAGTCATTAGTGAGTTTTAGAAGGGGGCGATTTCAGTGGAGTGTTGGGGGTGAAAGCTAGACTGTAAGGGATAAATGAGATTGTTATCAGTGAGGTGGGAGCTCAGGCTGTTGTAAATGAGGCGTTCAAGGAGTTTGGACGTGAAGGGGAGTAAGGAGATAGGTCTGAGATTGTTGAGGTTGGTGGGGTCAAGTGAAGATTTTTTGGGTATTGGGGTGACCAATGCACCAGTGTCAGAGAGGAGCTTTGTAACCTCCTCTGTGGTGGCAGGGTCAAAAGAGGAAAGTAACAAGTGTAATGGTGGGTCTGGTACATGAATAGAGGAAGGTGACTGGAGAGTGGGAATTTCATCTCGGATTGCATCTATTTTGTTTTTGAAATGAATGGCAATGTCCTGGGCAGTGAGTGAGTCAGTGGGTGGTGGTGGTGGGGGACATAGTAGAGAGTTAAAAGTAGAAAAGAGTTGATGAGGGCTGGATGAGAGTGTGTTAATGAGAGTGACAAAATAAGTCTTTTTGGAAGCACAGAGGGAGGAATTATATTTTGTGAGGGCAGCTTTATACAGGATGAAGTCTTGTAGAGACCTAGTTTTACGCCGCACTCGCTCCAGAGTGCAGCTTTGTTTCTTGAGATTTCTTGTTTCTTTAGTTTTCCACTGTTGTAGAGGACGTGGTCTAAGTCTGTGTGTGGTGAGGGGAGCCATAGTGTCTATGGAGGATGAGAGCAATTCTCATAAGAATAATAGGATAATAGCCTCACACAGGTTCCACCTCATTTGTCACCAATAATTTTAAGTAATTTTATTGTGTGTTTGCTTTGTCAACAGGAACTAAGCTCTGTAGGAACATTACAGCCAAAAAGAGCTGCCGAACTACCAGAGAACAAAGCAAAGAACCGGTTTACCAATGTTCTGCCATGTAAGTAGCTACAGCATCAGCCTTATTCACTACTAAATATAAAATATACTGTATAGTTTTGAGAGATTATTTGGGGGTATCATTTTCTATCAATCAATATCGGCACACTTCCTGGTACACTGTTTGGTTTGTCAGCTGACAACACATTGCTTAAAACCTTGCTCTAAAGTAATAAAACCATAGGTCATAGTGCATGCATAACAGCTACATCTAATTTCATGCTGTCTGCAGGTATATAAATCACATGGTTTTACCTCAGTCCTCCAGAGAAATAAAGTATTGCTAGCACAGGGGGGCTGCAACACCCTAGTGGCTCTTTGCAATGCCTAATTAAAGTAGCAACATCCATTTTGATTGTTAATGAGAACTGTAAAACAGTGGAAATCTTTCATCAGTTAAAGCTGTGACCTAGTAAGATCATTGAAACAACAGTATATACTTATTAAGCTCCACCTCTTTTCATATGGATAAGGACAGCAATGTTGGAAATGCATCAGCATATATATGATTGTATTACTTGTGTAATTATGTCTTTTGAGCTGTAGATGGTGCTGTAGTGCAATGGTAGTCTATAAGTTCATGCGTATCTATGATATATACAGGAAGTTCTCTCTGTATGCTGTATAATGCTTTATTCTGATATAACGTTCTTATAAGCAAGTAAAACTTAATCAATCATTCCTCAAGATCTCAATGCTTCATCTAAACACATAACCAACAGGTTATGGGCCCTAGCACTAAACAGAATACTGCAACAAGAGCCCCATCCAAGCTACTGAAAGATGGCAAGCAGTTCAGATATGAAGTTTGCAATTGCAAAACTCAACAATACCAACTACCAGCTATGGAAATTTAAGCTTGAAATGCTGCTAAACAAAGACGACTTGTGGAAAGTACTGAGTACAGACAGACCCACTAATGGACCCGTGGAGGAATGGGACAAAAAGAACAGGCAAGCAAAAGCAATTATAAGTCTGCTAGTGGAAGACAACCAGTTCGTCCACATAAGAAAAGAGAGTATAGCTAAAGGTATGTGGACTGCATTACAAAAACTGCATGAGCGTTCAGACCTGAATAATAGACTACAGCTGCTATGCAAGCTCTATAAGATGAGGCTAGAAAAAGGCCAGGAAATCATAGAACAGCTATGTGCAATTGGAGAGGAAATTAAAGATAACCATGTGGTAGCATTACTGCTATGCACCCTTCCAGAGTCATCCAATGCTCTTATTAAAGCTCTAGAAAGCAGACCTGAGCAGGAACTAACACTAGAATACACCAAAGGAAAATGAATCTATGAATATGACAGAAGGAAAGAAAATATGCACAATGAAGAAAACAAGAAAGCCCTTAAGGTGCATGAGAGCACAAAGAAAAACAAAGAAAGCAGAGCATGTTTTCGCTGTAAAAAGTCTGGTCACCTGAAAAAGGACTGTTTGATCTGAAAAGCCGAGCAGAGAAAGTGAGAGGCACCTACAGGAGAAAGAGCTAAGGCAGCTACAAAGAAAACTGCAGGTACATCATGTAGGGTTGCCACCTTTTCTTCAAGTGAAACCCGAACACTCTAGCGCCACTAAAAAAATTTTGGGGAGAATAATGCCAGTGTCGGCACGGCTACGGAGTGTGATGTGTCCGGGTGCCCACTGGCGGGGCACCCGTACACAACACACCAAAACCGGACTGTCCGGTTGAAAACCGGACGGGTGGCAACCCTAACATCATGGAGTGCTACCTTTAAAGTAATTAAGAACAGTATACCACGCAAATGGTGTTTTGACTTCCTTTTTACAGAAATTGATTTCAATGTGAAGGGCAAAGTTTTCCTAGCAAATGGGGAAAGTATTACTGTGAAAGGTAACGGTCAAGGATTCTTAGACTGCATCACACTGTCAGGGAACAAGCAGAGCATCCTCGTGAAAAATGTATGTGGCAGACCTAGAAGGAAGCCTTCTATCAGTGCAAATTCTTGCTAATTACAGTCTCACAGTTTAATTCCAAGGTGATGAATGTACAATCCGAAACAATAAGCAAGTCCTTGCAAAAGGAAAATTGGATGAACACCTCTACAGAATCATTACTGCAGACGAACAAGTCAAAACAGCCACTGAACAAATGTATCCATCTATGGCACAGACGACTATGGCAACGAAACCCAGAAGCTATAAAAGATATTATAAAGAGAGGCTTAGAAGATATAACCATACTGCCCTGCCAAATGCTCATGACATGCAAATGCTTTATGAAAGCAAAGACCACATGTACCCCATTTCAGGCCACTCAAAGAAAAAACACCTATCCCATGGAGCTCATACACAGTGACAGATATCTAGTGACTTTCATTGATGATTATTCCAGGTACACAACAACTTGCCTGATTAAAGCACAAAAATGAAACATCAGAAAAACATCAAGCGTTTGTAGCCATGTCCAGCAACAAATTCGAACAGATACTAATTATACACACCGACAACGGAAGGGAATACATCAGTAAGGAAGTGGAATCATATCTGAAGAAACATGGTATAGTACACCAGAAAACCACACCTTATGCTCCTGAACAAAATGGTGTAGCAGAATGGAAAAATCACACTCTTAAAGAAATGGCCAGATGCATGCTGTCAGATGCCAACCTACCTAAGAGGTACTGGGGAGAAGCAGTCATGACTGTAACATACCTACAGAACAGACTACCTTCAAAAGCCTTTGAAAACACTCCATTTAAAATGTGGCTTGGATCAAAACCTAGCCTAGGGCACATTAGAGTGTTTGGATGTAAATCTTACACCTATATTCCAAATGAGATGCGATCCAAATTGGAGAACACAGCCATACAAGGTATTTTGATGGGCTATAGTGAACAAGTAAGGGATATAGAATCCACTACCAAAAGTGACAATAAGCTGCAGCATTTATTTAGATGAGAACCCATCACCAGAAATAATGATCCCAGGAAGTTATGAAGTGAATTCGCCCAGTGAACCAGCAAAGAAAGGTGAGCGAAGTGAAGCCACACAGCAGTCGGAACAAGAGGTAGAACTCACAATGGATAAGTCAGGTTCCATGTTAAAAATTCGGCTGAACAACCTGAAATTAAAAGATCCACTCGGGCAACAAATGGAATACCACCCTGCAGGCTCTTATATACTGCTAAGACACATAGCATACTCGAACCAACATCTTGGTTAGACCTAGAAAAATTACCAGTAAATCTTACACCTATATTCCAAATGAGATGCGATCCAAATTGGAGAACACAGCCATACAAGGTATTTTGATGGGCTATAGTGAACAAGTAAGGGATATAGAATCCACTACCAAAAGTGACAATAAGCTGCAGCATTTATTTAGATGAGAACCCATCACCAGAAATAATGATCCCAGGAAGTTATGAAGTGAATTCGCCCAGTGAACCAGCAAAGAAAGGTGAGCGAAGTGAAGCCACACAGCAGTCGGAACAAGAGGTAGAACTCACAATGGATAAGTCAGGTTCCATGTTAAAAATTCGGCTGAACAACCTGAAATTAAAAGATCCACTCGGGCAACAAATGGAATACCACCCTGCAGGCTCTTATATACTGCTAAGACACATAGCATACTCGAACCAACATCTTGGTTAGACCTAGAAAAATTACCAAAATGCGAAGCCAATCAATGGATACAGACAGCAGAAGAAGAAATAAAATCACTCAAAGAAAATAACACCTGGACATTCAAGAGCAAGCCATTATCAACATGCAATATTGCTCATTAGAAGAAATGACTATGGATGCACTCACCAAGCCATTGCCAAAGGATCGTCACAGTTCCCTTCGAGAGAAGCTAAATGTCATATAGCAATGCATATGCTGTTGAGAAGGAGTGTTGGAAATGCAATAACATATATTTTTGTATCACTTGTGTAATTATGTCTTTTGAGCTGTAGATAGCGCTGTAGTGCAATGCTAGTCTATGCTAGTCTGTATGTCCATGCTTAATTCAGCACTCCTAAAGATCTCAGTGCTTCATTTAAACATATAACCAACAAGCAACACAGTGAAAATAAATGTTTAGTTCTGATGATACTCTAAAGGAAAATAGGCTAATCATTTGCAAGGGTATTATCCCTTAGCTTAGTGAATGAACAAAAAATGTTGTTTTTGTTTCCTTGAATGTGCTTGGGTATTCTTTGCAAAGTAAATTTTCACCATTTGCCAAGCTCGGGGGAAAATTCCCTTGCAAAGTGAACAGCCTATTTTCCTTTACTAAATCAATCCCTATGTATACACACAGGCTGACACAAAAAAATGCAATGACATTTTAAAATTGGGAGAAATGGCATGCTATCTAGATGATCCCTGGCATGTGATTTGTAGCCTATAATATTTGGCCAACATATAAATGAAGCAATCCATGCAGATGTGTCCTGAAAACCCTGCCCAGAAGGTATACAGTGCAGGAGAAGAATTAATTGTATGTGGTTTTGGAATGAAGCTGTAAAGATCAATCCTTCACTGGTTCACTGGTGTTTGAAGCTTTATTACATTTCTATGCAAATGTTATTTTTTTTTCTGTTCAATTTAAACTTGGCCCATAATCTTCCACCTTCTGAGCCTCCTTAGTTTGTTAATTTGATGGGTAGATTTATTGACCAACCAAAATTTGGTTGAAATAAGCCTCTAATTTTGCCATGCAAGGTGAAATTATCGTTAATAAAGTTGCTTTGTAAAGATAGGAGCATCCAGTGTCATCAGCAAAGCCATAGACTATGTCAGCACTAACATGTTGATCACAAGGCTTTGCTGATGAACAAAGTGATGCAATCAATATGACAGTGCTGACATGGTGATCGCATTACTTTGTAAGCTGTCAAATGAGACCGAGCTCTCCTACCCACAACGCTGGCTCAGCATCCTGTGACAGCGGGAGTCAGGATGGAGAGTGGTATACAAACATTCAGCGATCAGTGATCGCTGAATGTTTGTAAATAACTGGACTATGTACCAATTATGAATGAATGGGAAGTATTTACATCACTTCTTGTTCATTCATGATTGTGTACATAGTAACTCATACTAAATCCACAATTTATGAATGAACAGTACCAGTCAGTACAGTATAGAGGATTCCTGTTCATTCAGTGCTGGGGCTGCAGAAAAAGAGATTGAGGATTCTGTTTTCTTAATCTCTTTTTGGTGCACCTCTATTTTGTATATAAAGGTTAGGGTTTTGATTATTGTTATGTTCAGGGATATGTTAGGGTTAGCACTTTATAGCACAAGAACTGATCCAGGTTACTTGAAAGGAGCATCACTAAACCTTTGAAGCCATTTAAAGCCCATTGCACCCTTAAAAACCACCAAAACCATGTTAATTTCACTTGCCCCATTGACTTTAATGCACTAAGCCTAATAGTGAAATTTTTGCTCAGATCATCCTATTTCACATACATTTTGGTAAAGCAGAAAAAGTCCCATTTTGGTAATACCTACTAACATTTTTTTTGATTCACTGAATTTCAATGTGTAGTGTATCCAAACATTTACTGTTCACATTGGGATGCACTCCTATCTGTGTGTCTCATTTTCTAGAGAGCAGTTTTATTATCCTTTTACACACTGCATGTTTTGGACCATCACCTAATTCCAAGCTTGGAAACAATCCCACAAACAAACTTTGTTCCCCATTGTCCCTGTGTGTGTTGTAGTGTAACCACCGTTCCAAGCTCACTCCCGTGATCGACTACAAACTCAATACAAATTAGTAAAATAAACGTGAGACTGTAGTCCATCACGGGAGCGAGCTTAGAGCAGTGGCTACTTTACAATACACACAGGGACCATGAGGAACAAAAGTAGCTACCCTCCAGAAGGAAGGACAGTATCAGCACCAATTCAGAGATGATTTGAGGATCTACAGCTCAGTGATACACAAATAAACTACATTTTTGTTAATGGTTAATGTACTTGAATGCATTTTAAGATTAAACTCCTGAGTTTAGAGTCACTTTAAGTGGCTATGCAGTTGTCTTTCACTTGCAAATCATTTTTCATAAAAGTAATTAAACATTTTCTGTATATTTACTTTGTATAATATATATTTGTGTTTCATTTTAAAGATGATCATTCTCGAGTCAAACTAACCACTGTAAATGATACAGCCACTACTGATTATATCAATGCCAACTTCATGCCTGTGAGTATCTCTGTGTGTGTGTGTGTTTTTTCATGATTTTTAATAATGTGCTCTTAAATATTATTAAATACTATCCTATATAATCTTAAATCATATCTTAAACAGTATTAAACATGTGTTGGTCGGAGTGAACTTTTGTCATAATCTCCAAGTATGCACAGTATACTTACAGATTATGGCACACCTTACCGTGTGTGCTGTCCAACAGCAATGACAAGTCCAGGAACTTGTCAGTGCTTTGTCCCCTGCTGTCACTATCTCCACTAAAGCTTCTTCCGATTTATGTGGTGCTCCTCTTTGGAAAGAAAATGGCCATTGATGATGTAACTGCTGTGCATGAATGTAAGCACAATGGGGAGATTAATAAAACGTGTCTGAGACATATTCTATTTCAACTGGTGCAGCTGCCCATACTAACCAATCAGCTGCTATTTTTCATTTTTTTCCCACACAGCTTACAAAAAAAAAATTTAAAAGCTGATTGGCTGCTCTCTAGTTGAGACAGAGTTTGTCTCAGACACTTCTTTATTAATTTACCCCATTGTACACTCCAGCACTCACCTCAATTCTCAGCATGCTGAGAATGAGCCAGGTTGTACAATGCATAGCACATTCACAGTGCAGTGCGCAGACGGAAAAAAAATTACCAGGAGCCAGGGAAAAGGTTTTTTGGCTAAAGAGACTATTCATGCCTTTTCTACCGAAAAACTCTACTTTCTGGTGATTTTTTGTTTCATGGAGTTTGGTTTCACTTTTCACTGTTAGGTGCTCCAGGGTACATATTAATCCAAAGGCTGCTAATCTGTGCTTTTATGGATTCTACAAAACAACAAGTTTCTGCTCAAAGCTAAAAGAACTTGTGTCGGAGGGAAAGATCATTTTTGTTTAATATTTTTATTTTATTCTGCATTTTATGTTTCCAGTGGGAGAAACTAACTGGTTATTATAGACAAATAAATGTGTTGGGAAAAGTTTATAAATTTTTTTATGAATAATGTCCACACACTTTTATGTCTTCATCTGTTATCTTAATACAAGCAGAGCTATAAACTGGTGACATAGCCCTTATTTGCTATGAACTGTGTTGGACTATAATCTCAATACAAATGAGTAAACTAAATGTGAGATTGTAGTCCATCACGGGAGCGAACTTGTTAGTGTCAGCACCAATTCAGCACAGTGTCGGCACCAATTCAGAGATGATTTGAGGATCTACAGCCGAGTGATACACAAATAACATACATTTTTGTTAATAGTTAAGGTACTTGAATGCATTTTTAAGATTTAACTCTTGAGTTTAGTGTCACTTTAAGGATTTCAGCCTGAAAATAGCAAGTATTAATCCCTCTCTCTAGATAATCTCTCAACTTCTTTGAAGTTCATTACCCTCTTCTTTCCTGTCTTCTCTTCCCCCCACCTCTTGCAACCTTTTCACTCCCCTACACTACTCCTTACTTCTGGCAACCTCTGCCCACATACTGTATCTTTCAGCTTCTGTTCAGTAGGGTGAGATACAAAATAGCTTGAGCATTAATTTTCAAAAAGGTTCTCGGATTCGTGTTCACCTCAAACTGTCAAATTTTGGCCAATTTTGCAGTGGTTGTTTTGTGTGCTCACCCAAATTGCACAATGCAGTCTTTAATCATGGTCACAGCCCGGATGAACTTGTAATCCTCTCCTTGAATGTGAAAGGTCTTAGGGGAGAGCTCGGGTCTTAGATAACCTTAAATTTAAACAGGTTTCCATAGCGTTACTACAAGAAATGCACTTTAAGCATAGTAAGATACTTACCTTTGGCACCCATCTTTATCCTCTGGCTTATCATTCAACCTCTCCCTCTAACAAATCCTGATTCATCGCTCAATCCCCTTCAAGGTCGGGGTTGAAATCAGGGGTGAGGATAGGCGCTTTTTTATTTTCAAAGGGGCTATAGCTGACATTCCTGTCACTATAGCCTGTGTGTACTTTCCCAATAAAAATCATGCACACTTTTTGAGTTCCTGATTGACAGATGTGGCTGAGGGAATGATCTTCCTGGGGGGGGGTGATACCACCTGCAAGAATTCTGGGCCTCATAGACAACTATTACAAAAGACTGCACACTGTCATTGATGCTACAGGGGGCAATACACAGTATTAAGAACTAGGGGTATGCAGACTTTTGAACAGGGGTCATTTCATTTTTTTATTTGTTGCCATGCTTTGTTATATGATTGTGCCATTCTGTTATGACCTACAGTTAAATATGAATCCCATAAAAAATAAAGAAATGTGTTTTGCCTGCTCACTCATGTTTTCTTTAAAAATGGTACATACAGTATATTACCAATTATCCAAGGGTATGCAAGCATTTGAGCACAACTCGTATACATTATATACATAGTATGGACTGTAGTAGCTCTGCTCCATCCAGTGTGACTAAGTCATGATTTGCTATGGGCTGAGATGTCTTTCCCTTTCTACCTCTAGCAGAAAAGAAGGTCAGGTTCCTGAGATTTGAAGCTGTCGTGTGTGCAGTGTGAAGCCCTTCAGTAAAGAGCCATACATGTTAATATTTAAATTCCTGACTTTGATAGTGGTACCAGTACAGCTGTTGTGTTTTGGGGTATTAGAGTTTTTGTTTTTAGAGCACTTAATATTAGATACAGTGTATGTTGTGGAACCACTAAGGAGGCTTTTTCCTTCTAGAGTAACGTTTTCTCAAAATAAAAGACCATAAAGCAAAAGCTACAACCTCAGTCCTAATCACCAACCACCCTTAACAACTCTAATAGGAGCCTTCGCTCACCAGGCTACTCTTCCCCACTTGTTAGGGCAGGAAGAAATTGATTGCTACTAGCCACCCCTAGGTCCAGCATCTGGATGTAGGTTTGGCCAAACTCCTTGGTGCTGCAACTCCTCCTATACCGGGTAGTATTAACAGCCCTATAACATCAGTTCATTGCCTGTGTTTCTCCAGAGTGGCAGATACACAGCCACCACTACTTTTCTCAGAAGGATCTCCCTGTCCTCCATGGTCACAAAGAGCAAAATATTATTTGTCACAGAACCAGTGGCAGGTTGCCAGAGAAGAGCAGCTAGGAAATTTACTCAGTAGCTCACCAGTATTTTTCAGCACCAACTGATCTTTGTGGAGTAAAAGTTCTTAGAGATTTGGTGTAAGTTCTAAGCTCTTCCACCCCAGCCAGCAAGTGTTGAACATAGTCATTTAGTAATCAGTTAAAACATATATATTACTATTGTAATTGTATATTATTCCATAATTGTTAGTTCTCCCACAAGCAATTACTCTATTTTGCAGAATTACAAACCTCAAATGTCTTATCAGTTTTTCAGCTGAGATATTTTAGCCTCAGAAGCCAGAAGCTATGAAGTCAATAAATCTAATAACAGATAGGGGAAGAAAGTGAAATCTGTGACTAAGGACAGCTCAGGGCTAGGGTTAGTGATACGGTACAAGATCTGTGGTTTTCTTTACAAGCACACTGATTTTCTATTCTTAATTGCTATTAGCAACCTTCCTAGTGGGGCCCATTTGCCTAGGACCCACAGCTACTGCATGGGCTGCACCACTGGTACACGTGGTCACCAAAACTAGTTCAAGCACACATCGTATTGGGATGGTATATATTACTCACTGCACACAGGGTGAACCTTTTTATATTTCTACAGTCATCCTAATAATTTTTTCTTAAATTTATATGCAAATATGCAAGTAATAAACGTACAGTTCTATGCATAGGCACATTGTGATGTGTTAAAGAGGAACGTCACCTTACAATCTGGTCAACTTTCCTACTGCTTCTTCTGTCCTGAAGGGCATCTTCCTTATCTGTCAGCCACGTCCTTGTTTCCTGAGTGAGTGCACAGTCAGTGCTCTGGCCAGGGTATCAAATTGTGTACACATTGCTGTTGTATTAAATAATATGATTCTGCAGCTAGTGCACTATTGTCACCAATCCCAAACAGCCTTAGTCTGCGCTATACCTGCAGAATCATTATATTTACACATTGCCGTTAAAATGGGAACAATATGATTCTCCAGCCAGACTTGTTGCAAATGTGCAGGATTAGCACCACATGTGTACACCCAGAGCTCACAGAGTTTCCTGAAGACTTCTGGGATATATGACATTCATATTCCACAAGTCTTCAGGTGGTAGCTACATCATTCTCACCTAGACAAAAATTAGGGAAGTACAGTGGCTATTACAGAAAAAAAAGGATGTAAAAAAAGAAAATAAAAATTGCAATTCTGTTAAAGGAGGGCAGGAAAAATAAACATTTGCAATTCTGTGAAAGAAGGGGGAAATACGGGTTAAAAGGAAATGTGCAAAATGGTGGTGAAGGTCGAATTTATTTAAATGCTACTGTATGTACTTAATCTTGTACTTAAACAAATTCTCATGTTTTGCAGGGTTATAATTCTACAAAGGAGTTTATAGCCAGCCAGGGTCCGTTGCCAAATACCACTGCAGATTTCTGGAGGATGGTTTGGGAGCATCATGTTAACACCATTGTAATGCTGACTAACTGCATGGAAAATGGTCGGGTATGTTCATCATATACTTCACAACTGTCCTAATTTGTTTAGGTTGGGGAGCCACCAAGAAGGATCTTTCAGATTCACAATTTATGGCCATAATGTACTGCATAGACTATGCCAGATGGGTCCATAAGAGGCAATAATCTGAGGAAATGGACAAGCCAGCCCCCCAACAACACAAAGGTGGGCTTTCAGCTACCATATTGTCAGTGTGTGTTGGAGCTGGTTAGGCAAAGCTAACATATTTGTGTAGGGAGAGCATAGGAAGAGATACTCTGCTACAAAGTGCTTCATAGTGCTATAGTGTTGCAGTTGTGGGTTACATTATTTTGTGTACCCCCTGTGTCCAATAGACCCAACTGTGTGCTTCCTGCTAGCCTCTATGCCAACCCCATGTAGCCCTTTTTTCTAAGGTGCTTTATTTTATTTTCTGCTAGAGTTAAGAAAGTGGAAGGTTTAAAGGTTTATTTTATTTAATTTTGTCTTGTTAGGGCCTTTTTTTTAGGTCTGGGGTGTGCACCATGTACTTGCTGCTGAACATTTATTGCAGCTGCCCATTGTATGCAGCATGCTACCACCTCCGTGGGAGCAGCACCTGATCAAAACAAGGTGGACTCTTCCGGTTTCCAATGCCCAGTTCCTGTTGCAAACAAAAAAGGTCTGAAGGTGCCCATACACCTTACAATTATCTGCAGATTTTCTGTGGTCAGATGGAAAAGGTGCAACAGATTCTTCAATCTACACTTAACTGTGTGAATTAAGTAATCTCCACCTGGGCCAATCTGTTGCACCTTTTCCATCTGACCACAGAAAATCTGCAGATAATTGTAAGGTGTATGGCCAGCTTAAGAAGCATGCCCAGTATCTCCATGCCAATGCAGCAAAACTGCTGGTGCTATAGCTGCCCCCATTTAAGCTAGTGGAAACAGCCCTCTTCAACCAGTTCCTGACCTGCGCTGCCCCAAGGTACCTAGCTGCTATTACGTATCCCAAAAGGCCATGCCTGCTTTCTACCTTCATGTGGGGGAAAACATGTCTGTCACTGGACCACACTGTGAGCAGCATGGTACACATACAACTGGTCCAGTGAACATGGGCACCAAAACGATATATCAGTTATTGTGCCCTGTGTTACTCTTATTGTCCCTGAGCATGGAATAGATGCAGCTAAGTGAAGACCTTTTAACTTTGTGATGCCTCTTCATTGTTTCATGGGAGCTAGTGGCAGCTGTGTGAGATTCACCCCCTCATTCTCATTGGTCTCATCCTCCAAAGCATCAAGACCAGCAGGTCCCCCTAAGTGCCCCAGAGCCTATGCAATAGCAACATACTATTTAGGATGCAGTCACCCAGTACCTCTGTGAGTAGTTGCCAAGGACAGGCTCTGAGGAGTGTTAAAATTATTAACCCTCTCAGTGGCTGCTCATAAAGCACGCCTGCAGTGTTTAGGTACTCCTTGAGAAGGTGGCTGAAATGGAAAATTGTGAGCAGGATATGTACGCTCAGCTGCATGTTACATACTCCTGACCAATGAATTCTGTGCACTGGGCTGTAGTCTACATTCTCCAAATCCTTGCACCCAGTACACAGGAGTATATGCTATATACTGATAACCAAAGTGTTTATTGTCTCAACCGTTGCTAGTTGGTAAGTAATGTCCAACTATTTAAATGATGGTAGGTTCAGACCGAGTGCTTGTACATGTTTATCTATTGTATACAGGAAGTTTTTTCCGTATGCTTTATAATGCTGTATTCCTATATAAATGTATGCAACGTTCTTCTAAGCAAGTAAAACTCAGCATTTTTTGCATATGTCTACTGCTAGCAAGCAGTAAATATATGCAAAAACATGAAAAAAAATGTTTCAAATAGGTTAAAACAGGGCTCAAAATTTCAATTCCTGGGTTACTAGCCAAGGCTTAAGAGTTACTCGCCACCAGTTGCTCCACCTAACCCTTACCCTGCCCCCGCCCCTAAACACACCCTTTTAAATGATCTTATGATAATTCTTATTTTATGATAGTTGCCGCTTGTAAACGGCAGATTAGGGATTCCTGCTGCTGGAAAAAGCAAGTTCCAGACGAAGGAATCCCTGAAATATACTGTAGGTGTGAATGGGGCCTAATATACACATACACTTAAACACATTAATACACTTCTCAACGTTACCATACCCCCCCCCCCCCCCCC